AAATTTACTAGTCATAGCAATAAAGGAAGAGCTAAACTGATCTGGAACCATAATGAAGCAGCTAAAGTGCGAAATCATGTTTTGAATATATATAGGCTTGATCTTCACCCATGGCTTTGACTTCAGGATATTGAACGAAGCTAAAGCTTGCTAGTTAGGACCCAAGAAACGGATATGAAGCTGCATCGTAAAATCGCTGATCTGCTGAGGCTCGGTAATCTTTGAAACACTTTAGTCAGAGAGACCATTCCATGTGACTCAATCCATCTCCAAATGGGTATTGCGTAAACGCAATGCCTTGGGCATTTCATTATGGTGCCCGAGTGGAGTTATTGTGTGAGGAGTTTGCTCGCAAGGACCAACGGTAGATGATCAATTTCCAGGAATATTGCAGATAACTATGATATAGTGAGAAACTGCCACTGTCGTACATTGCAATTGAGTTCGAAGAATAAGCGTTTGATTGGTGAAAGACGTGTTCCATTCCTAAGGAATTGCCATTTGCTGGACAGTGTCAAAAACAACCTCTGTGGTATATGCTCTGAAAACTGAAGCCCGTCATGTTTTGTCAGCATAGCAGGAATACGTATTATTGATTGTCTGCATTCTTTCTCCATTGTCTGGCTATCACTGTTATGTTTGTTGGTGGAGATTCCTCAGCGAGACACTGGAAGTTGCTCGTCTTCCCTAACCGCCGTTAACAATACTATTATTTCGTCTGTGAAAGAGTTTCATACTGTTGATTGAGAGAGGAAATACATAATGAACCCTATCTACCTTTTAATTTGTTGGAAAGAGTAAAAAGATTTTCTTGTCGAGTGACGTTGCGTCAAAAGGCAGCGCTTTCTGAGTTGAAATATTTCCAATAGTCGATGGTGAGCCATTTTGAGGCATTGTAAAATCAATAGGAAAATTCATCTCAAATCCTTGGTTTCTAAATTACTGTCCCCACCTTATAAAAACACCTTCATAAAATATATCAAGAGTGGACTTGCTAAACTACCTGTTTAATTATTGTTGGAGCTTATGGGAAATTCTACGGGGAGACACGTACTTCAAGAGAAATTAGACTTTTTCATGCCATGTGAGCAATCAGAATTCCCATGAGGATTTTATGCGGCAAATGTGCTCCTGGGGATACACACCAATTGATTCAAACTGATTGGAGAAAGCAAGGAATCCAACTTTCTCTTCGTCTAAAAGTCATGCACTTCGAGGTAGCTTTCAATTCATTGTACAAGTGCGTTATATCATTTTTTCAGGAGTCAGGGAATCGAAAATACGTTGAGACTTCGATGCTGAGACCTATAAGAACATAAGCATAACTTCATTAAAGCATCAATATATACAAAATTAAAAGTAGCGCCAAATGACGTCTGCAATATCATCAAACTTATTCGCAACAGCTCGAAAAGCTTCTAAGATATTCGACTGAGAAAACCAGGCGCTGCCATAAATGAGTGCTAGGCCTTTCGACGCTATTCAGATTCTCATAGTTTGTTCAGAAGCACTATGGAGAAAAATCTAAGATTTAAATGACGCTGGCAGAAAAGCTAGCTTAAAAATGAATCTGAGGAAGACTCATCATCTGATCAATAAATACATGATGGGAGCAACTGTGAATCTATGGTCAATAGGAAAACGGATGGAAGCTTGGTCGCTGTTTGAACGTCGGTCTTCTTTCACTTTCATGAAGCTGATGGTGCGGTGATGACCTCCGTTTCTGTGCCAGCAGCCAGGAGTGACTTCCTTTAAGACAGAGTCTACAGCCACGTGACTAGCGTCATGTGCAGTCTGCCGTTTTCATCCCTCAGATGGCACTCGTCTATCAATCTCAAAAGAAACAAAGACCGACCAGTGACCCCAGTAACTTAACCTTGAATAGCTGCGAAACGACGTCACAGTTCATCGCAAAAGGCAAGTGATTCTAGGAAGCAGAAAGGAATAAAAAAGGGCATGGAGTGCTTTCGATGACTGATGACGTCATATCAGGGAAATTGCTCCCTTGTGTCTGAAACTTTGACGATATAAATTAGCAAGTGCCTTCACTGCCTGAAAAGCGAATGCAGCACATTGTGTTCAATGAACAAGAATGAAAAATGATTAAATAATGCAAAGGTAGGTATATGTAGGAATAATGAAAAAGTATAAGGACAATGTCGGAAGAATAAGTGCAGGAATAAACGAGGGCATTGACGAAGACAGCGATGAAATGGAAATGGCATTGGAATGAACATTTTGCTTCAAAAATACATTTTCAATCCCTGGACCAAAAAATATTTTCACAGATTTTCACAACACAAAAAGTCGACCGTTGGAATGCTTATAAACCGGTAATTCAAGAGTTGAAGGGAATAGTATCGAAATGTTGCACAGGCTTCCGTTAGGCAGTGGATGAAAAAGAGCTGATTATGATTAATACCGGAACAGACATTCATAAATATTTTATTATTGTGCGTCCGCTTGGCATTTCCATGAATAGAGTTTTTAAACCACTAGTTTAATAAAATAGTTTCCCACCATAAGTTAGCTCGGAGCTTTTGGAACCAAAGTACTGTCTTCCTTCTCAGCGTGACTTTTTCATTGTCTGGGTTCCGAGAGCGTCTTGGTAAATGAAAGTTGTAGCACTTTTCATTTTTCTATCGTTTAAAATGTGTTCCTTGATTTGATGAGCGCTCCAGATGTAAATTATGAGTCTAACGGGTGCATATCCGGAAAGCGTTGCAATATCTCAAAACAATGACCAATTGTGGCGTGTCAAATTCCCTGGTGCAGAGTAAATATGGCAGAACAGGAATGACAGAAAAGCTCCATGATCTACCTCATCAAATGCGGACCTTAAAATGATTGCCTGGAAAATCGACCGTTCGAGTAATTGTCCCTCTATTTAAATTAAAATGAAAGAGCCGTACCACTGTTTAAACCAAGTTCTGCAATTACCGTAGCACTGCCCTAATGTCAGTTCCTGGAAACTATTCACCTGGATTCTCCTGTAAAGGCTGCGATAGGTTGCCCATAAAGGACTCTGCCAAATGCGAGCCGTCTTACGGATGGGGTACTCTTGCATGTGTAAATTTTCATTTTCTGTGATCATCGAAAATGCCAACGAATCTAGGAGCCCTGGCTTGGTGTACCTCAATTTGAAAGCAGCATTTGATTCAGTATATTGGTTAATGACGGGGTGTGTTAATTTTAAAATGTTACGCGATGCCTGGGCATGACGCCTCCGTTTTGAAGAAATGTATGCAGTAAAAATTTCTGCTTTTAAAGTCGATGGATGGCTATTTAACTACCTACTAATTGACGGAGCACGCCCAGATGTTTCTTCGCCTTTGTTATTCGTCAATGTCATTCACTTCCTTCGCGAAAACAAAGCTGACTCTGGCAAAGAAGCGAATCTTATTCTAATGAGAAGACATGGTTCAAGATATCTGATTTAATATTATAATAATGGGAGTATCCAGATAATATTGTTTCCGTTGAACACGACGAGAGGGATCTGCCAGCTGACTGCTTCAATGTGCAACAAAGCTGCGAAAAACGCCCTCTGCCGTAATGCCTAGAAGTTCAAGGTTATAAGGTGACTGTCCAACACAGCTGATCTACTAGTCAAACATCTCGGCCAAGTCATCTCCAATGCGGGCATTACACAGTCAGAGATGAGCAGGAGGATCATCTCCGCCTCCAGTGCTTTTTGGAACCTGCCAAATATCCGGGTTTGAAAAGAAGTAACGCTTGCCCAAAGATCCAGTTGTACATTGCGTTGGTCGAATCGGTAACGTACTGTCATTTTTTCGTAGGCCAACGACATGCTACCGTTTTTTGGCTGGTTGCACCGAGGCACAAATGGGGTGAACTTCTTTGTCGAAGTAGCGAATAAAAGTAATTTCAGGCCTCACGCTGCGCTTGAACCTATGTTCTAGTGTACGAAACAACCTCCTAACCAATCGCGCCACTAACCCCCACCTTGCCCCCTCCCTCATTCTAATTTATGGACCAGAAACGACGGTTCATTTGCTTAAAACGATACTGGCTTAGACGCAGAGCAACAGTGAATCGAAGGATTACGCAACCAACAACAGAATCCTATTCCGATCAAGGGTGTGTGTAGACGAAGAGGTTAAGGAAGCTAGTTTGGCACCGTTCGAAAAACTGGTTGAGCATAAACGATTTTCTCTAGCACGTGAGCTTCTGATGTGGAAGCCAAAACAGGACAAACATCGACCAGGAGGCCACCATTCAACATGGCCCCGAAGATACAGACATGTCTGCCTTTGAAGAGGAAGTGTTCTTCTACGATGCGGTAACCAGTTGATTTATATGTTGCCTTACCGTTTGAATGGTGCACAGAGCAGGTTTTGAAGGTTCTCAAATTGAACCGCATCGCAATTTCCTGTTGGACAGCGATACGGCACCATTGATTGGTCGCTAGAAACCGAATGTCCTAGACAGAAAACGAATGACCGAGTTGTTTCCTTAGTTCAATTCGCCCCTACGGGCAAAATGCAATGAATTTCTGAAATTTTAATTT